AGTATGCTTCCACCAGAAAGCAGCTCACCAAATACAGAGAAGGGGAGCTTGCTGGATGAGCTAATGGTTCAGGAAATCAGGGTAGACAGATCACCTCAAGCCACAGGCCGGGCTGGGTAGTAAGTGTTGGCCAAGCCATGGGTTCCTAATACCTTTGGAGGAAGTAGGAGCCATGCTCCCTCCCTAATAACTTACTGTGTACTGGAGACTTCCAGAAAGGACCAGGTTAATTTTGATGATTTGTCAACCAGATTACTGAAATGCCTAATCAGAACATAAAGCAGGGATACACCATCTGAGCAGTATTAACATTTTGGGCTGTCAATGCTGTGGGGGGACCTACTGGACATAGTTAAAATGTTGAGCAGGATCCCTGGCTTTCACCTACTAGAGTGGAATACCATCGCTACTCCTCAGTTTAGCCAACCAAAAATGTCTCCTCAAACAGTCAAATGTCTCCCCAGAGGGTAGGGGTTGATGGAACACCTCCATTGAAGGTGAATGTTTTTAAACTAAGAGGCTTCCCAGTTATATAAGCGGCAAAGGCCTTGTAATCAAGTAGTCATGGCCTTGAATTCCATATCACTTAAAAGTTGAAAAATCTCAATGGAACTATTTGTTCATCTTTAAAATGGGGACAAGTTGACCTACCATACAGTTGGGATAATTACCTAAATTCATGTGTAATACAATTAGGGCAAAGCCTGGTCCCAGTGGCAATTAATGTGTGTTTTACTCCTGAACACATGCTTTGAAGGAGAATCAGACATATCTGCTTTTAGTGCTAACCTGGGTAGAAACCTACTCCACATAAGAAAATTACAATATGATCATAGGCTATGAAAGGGCAGTCCCAGTTCTCTCATTTGGGCCTGGGGTCTAAACCTGAGTTCAAAGACTCCCAAGGGGCCAAGAGATCCAATTATGGGAATGTGTAAATCTGGGTGGGAAAAAATACACATCCTTTTTTTTTTTGGGGGGGGGGCAGGGGTAACCAGGGACTACACTCAGGGGCACTCAACCACTGAGCCACATTCCCAGAAGTATTCTGTATTTTATTTAGACAGGGTCTCACTGAGTTGCCCAGCGCCTCACTCTTGCAGAGGCTGGCTTTGAACCTAAAATCCTCCTGTCTCAGCATCCTGAGCTGCTGGAATTACAGGTGTGCCCCAGCATGCCCAGCTCACTTTCTTATTTTCACTAGCTAAAATTCAACATTTTTTTACTTGCACTTGGAGGCCAAAAACTATACATTAACTATTCCTGGCCATTATTGCCAATTAAATGACAGATTTTTCATATCACATACATTATAGCTAAAATGCTGATTTTGTACAGTTCTACTTCAAAATTATATAAATTATTAGCCCTGCTGATAACACCTTGTTGTTTTGTGTTAGTAAAGCAGCATATGTTATATATCACATTTGGGGATTTTGTATTTTGAAAATTATATTTTAGCCAGGCACAGTGGGCATGCCTGTAATCCCAGCGGCTTGGGAGACTGAGGCAGTAGGATGGAGTTCAAAGCCAGCCTCAGCAAAAGTGAGGTGCTAAACAACTCAGTGAGACCCAAAATAGGGCTGGGGATCTGGCTCAGTGGTCATGTGACCGAGTTCAGTCCCCCATACCCCCAAAAAAATTCTAAAAGGGAAATGTGTGCTGGCTGTCCCCTGATGGATGTGAATCATCATTCCACCATTATTGTAAAATAAATTTAATCCATTTAATCATAATTTACCAAACATCTATCATGTATCAGAACTGTGTCCAGGATACAAACCCCAGACATCTGTCTTTGTGAAGATATGGCCAGCCCAGGGAACGAAATGGGGATAAAAGTACAATTGTAGAACTTTCCAGGGCTGTCTAGCCACCTAGAGACTTCTCTCCAAAGTGCACCTCACTCTCTTCTGTATACCCAGCACCCTATGGGGTATAAAGGACCAGGAACAAAGCATGTGTCCTCTACTAACTCAGATATGCCTAAACTATAGAGACATGGAAATGAGTTTATTCTTGTTAACCTCAGGATGAAAAAAATCTCAAAATGTTTTCTGGGCTCAAGAGTCCTCATAGTCCAATACTTTACTTACAAAATGATCAAATATGAGGGTTTTTTTTTTTCAATTTTATTTTTATTTTGTTCTTTTTAGCAAAAATAATTTTCTGAGTTATCTCATCAGCCAGAACACTAAACACCACCACCGGGCCCTACCTACCATTTCTCTTGGTGGTCTGAGTAGCTGGGTACTAACTGGCTTGCATCCTTAACTAAGCTATACAGAATCACAACATAATAACATACCTAAGTGGTTCAAGTTTAATTCCACTAAAATCACATCATGGAACTACAGCATTAGGAAGGATTACTGACAAATGGGAAAAAAAGAACATGAATCCAGGCTCCACAGGCATTTGACTCACCCTTGAGTCACATCCAATATTCACATGCCAAGAGTAATGCCTTTTGACTCATTATCATCAATTAAAATAAATGTTTATGGAGACCTCACACGTGGATTTCTCACCAAGTACCCCTCATTGAAAGGGAAAAGAATTTAGAAGATCCTGATCTAGCCAGATCTCTTCATTTTCCAAATGTAGATTTGGACAGAAAGGCTGAAATGCTTCACACCAAATGAAGTGACTGGGGCAGAAATACAGTAAGAATCAATTTCCTCCCAGAACATTTATGTAAGAACTCAAGATCTGACATAGATGCATATACATATATTCCCCCCCTCACACACAGTTATTTATTCTAGAATGTTCTTCACTTTGCCATAAAAGTTTTCTTATCTCTGAGTAACAGACTGGGAATTAAAATATTAATAGCTAATGTTTGATCTTTCTGTCTTAAGAGCCTTCTATCCTGCTTTACATGTGTACACACACACCCTTTTATCACCCATCATTTTACTTTCTTTGCACAACTACATTTAAATGTCACATCCACACCACCTCAACAACTTAGAACCTGCCAGTTTCTCTCCTCCCCTCCAAAAGGTGCACCCATGGTTTTCTCTCCCTCTCTAACCAGTTCAGCTCAAAGCACTGAAATTTTTCTCCCTTTTTCTTCCTGCAGTCATGGGAAGGTTTTTCCCCCACTTGCAGGACACCACAACAGACAGAAGTAGCCTGTCGTGTCAGCATTTCAGGAAGCAATACCTGGATTAAGCTAAAGGAGGTTCAAGACTCTAGCAAGGACTGAGGAAATGTAAAATCCACAGGCCATACTGAGACCACTCTCCTTACAGCCAGCAGTGTGGGGGAAACCATGCTGCACAAATATAGGCAAGTGTTCCCAAGGTGCTTACGATCAGGAACACTTCCCAGACTCGGCCCTTACTGGTGGGTGACCGTGATCCTTTCAACCACAATTTCTCCATAAAGCTTCTTCCTCCTCACCACTCAACTGAGTATACTAGAACCTCCATTAATGACTTAACCCAAAAGCTGACAGGGTAATTCTCAGCAAAACCTTAGCGATCTCCTCCATCTCCACCACCCAAGCACTATTTCATCTTCAGATTCTCCCCAGTAGTCTCCCATCCCTCCGTCCTCACCTAAGAAATGTGGGAATTAAGATGCTTTATTTTCTCCAAGTCACTTCTGACCACCCAAACATACTGACTGGTATTGCTTAACAATTCTAGTTTACAGCTAGATCCTTAACAATAAAAGCCCTAGGAGAGTTTTATGAGTTGTGCACTGTCCCTTCTGTACACCCCCCACCCCACCCACACACACAGGGAAGATGAGGCTTAGAAAGGTTGAGAAATAAACCCAAGTTCACATGCAGAGCCAATCAGGAAAAGCAGGATCAAACCTAGGTGTTGCTCTGAATCCTCAGTTTTATTAAATCTTGTGTCATCTGAGGTCCTTTAGATTTGAAGAAAATGCAAAGTGGATCCCCAGAAGTTCAGAAAGTAAGTTCTGTGTTAAAAAAAAGAAATAGTAACAGAAAAGGCTGCTCCATTTAATTAGTGAAAACGCAAGGTACAGAGATACACTCCAAGGAGGGCACACGGAAAGTGCAGATCCAAGTCCGCAACAGTTACAGGCTTAAAGGCCACCAGAAAAAGAACAGGCAGTCCCATCCCTCCCGCCCCCACCCCCAGGTTGGAGGCGCCCAAAGAAAAGAAGCCAGCAAAGCACCCCTCCCCTTCAAAATTCCTGCACAGTTCCCAGTTTCCCAGCCCTCTCCGGTGTTGCCGGCTCTGCCTTCTGAGCCTCTCTGATTAGAGGAGTTACAATTCCCGCGCCCGGACCTCATCCCTCCCCACCCCCAATAATAATAACCGCTTCCTTTTCCCATCCCCCCTGTCCCTTTCCGGGGGATCTGTCTTCTACGCAGTCCGCTAAGAATCCTTCAAGCACTGCGTGGCTGCGGTCCTTCTCCAGCCAGAGCACCCCAAGAGGGGAAACCCCCGCCCCCAAGAGGGAAATTTACCCGCCGGCAAGCACAGGAAAAGGTGGCGCGGGCAGCCTCGCGCCGCGCACGCCCCCAGTCCAGGCCTGCGGTACAGGTCACGCCTCGCTAAGGCTCCAACGCGCTCCAGCACCCCCGCCCCAGGGGGGATCAGACAGCACCCTGCAGCCTGAAAGGGATCTCCCGGTGAAGCGCAGGGGAAAGGAGCCCTCTTAGGGAGCGGGTGAACGGTCAGGGCCCGGAAGGGCGGTAAGGCAGGCGGACACCCGACGCGGCCCCTTCAGGCCCCGCACTGCGGCCGGGACAGAGCACGGAGCGAACAGGGGCGCGGCGCTAGCAAGAGTGCGGCCTCCGCCCGGTCGCCAGTGCACGAGGCCCCGCAGCGCGCCTGGCGCGGCAGCCTGGGAGACGCCGGCGCCTCGCGGGCCGCCCGCATTGTTCAGCCCGCCGCGCGCGCCCCGCCTGGCCCCGACCCGGGCCCCGGCCCCAGCTCCAGCCCCAGCCCAAAGGGTGGCGAGGGCGGCGGGGGCAGCAGGGCCGGGCAGGTGGCGCCTGGTGCCCTCACCTTTGGCGCCGAGCATGAAGTCCAGGGTGCTGTGCCTTGCTGCTGCCATAGTGAGGAGAGGCCCTGTGCCATGCCTGGGGGAGGCGGCCGCAGAAGACTGGGGGGCCGCGCGGCGTGTCAGGCTGCGGGCGGCGGGGAGTGAGCTGCGCCGGGGGAGGCCAGGAGTAGGAGGTGGGCGGGGCCGCTGGGAGCGACCCCGAGCGCGGGGGCGGGGCCGGGCCCGCCTCCAGGAGGGAGGGAGCCGGGACGCCTCCAGCCCCGAACTTGCAGCGCGGGGTGTGAGGCCTCACTAATGGTGGAAACGTGGGCGCCTTGCTCCCCAGCGTGCGTCACCAATGGCCGCGCCCTGGGCCAAGACTCAGGCCGGCGCTCCCGCCATCCGTTAGGTCACCTTAGGTTTAAACAGCGCAGCACGACTTCCGGGGGGGCCCACCCCATACACTTCCCCATATACCTCCCTCCAAGCCAAGGCCCCTTTTATTTCTCGGCCAATCAAAAAAATAAAATGCTAGGATCCACCTCTGAAGTCTTAAGTACAGCTTGCCTTTTTCTTAAAATGCGACAGTTAAACTCATTAGGATTATTATTATCATTATTATTAACCAAGGTCTGCTTTACATTTGAGGTTAGAATGGGGAGCTAAGAGAAGAAAGTAAGAAGATAACATTGTTGCTAAGTTTGGGGTGGGCAATTGCAGATTTGGGAGCTCCTTCTCCAGCAAGACTTTTCCATTGCTAGTGCCTCTATTCATGGCAATGGGCTTTCTGTGGTGGCCTTATTTTTTTACATTGAGGTTACAGCTAGTACTCAACAAAATGAGATCACAGAGAACAGAATTGTCTGTGGACTAAAACTCTCCTTGATATGACTGACAAATATCCCTGGGCAAATGCCTCTACCATCCAGCAGGCTCAGGTGCCTTTCTGGACCACAGGGAATTGCTGTGAACAGCTAAACAAAATTTAGATCAGTAAACTCATATGCTTCCACAAAAGCACCAAGAACCTGGATTTGAAACTCCTCTGTCCTGGAGTCAGTTCCTAAGGGCTGTTTTGCTGAGTCCTTCAGGGTCCTACAGCAACCAGGCAATGTCTTCAGGAGTGTTCTTCAACAGACTGTTCTCTAATGAGAGCTGAATCCTTTTTCAGCAACCATGTTAATTTTTTTCCTACCCATGGCCAACTGTATGTTACTCTGCTCTACTTCTGTGGAGCACAAATCCTCAATTTTGTTAGCAATATATTTGGCTTTCTCACCCTTCAGTATCTCTATGTGAGTCTGCAACTCCTATTTCTTTCTGGGATGTTCTCCAGTTCTTACCATTCCTCTGGAGTCAGGTCATTGGAATGTAGCTGTCCCCCTTCTGTATGCTGCAGGGTCAGTAGGCCCCACAGGCCTCAGATGTGCCTCTCCCCACACCACATCAGGGTGGGCCAAGTTCTCAGAAGGAGCCTGCCCTTGGTTTAATTATGTGCTGTAGCCATCTTGAAATTCTCAAGAATTTTTGAACCTGGAACCCAGTGTTTTCCTTTTGCAATGGGCCTGAAAATTATGTAGCTGGTCCAGCTCAGCAGCTCATGTTGGGGCAGTGTAGGCAGCCCTCAGACTGGGCTTGAAACCCTATGCCCATCACCTATACCTCACTTTGTTTCCTGCAAGGTATAAAATAAACAGATGAAAAATCCCGAGATGCTTTGCCATTAACTAATCAGCCATAAAAAAGTAGAGTTTTTAAAAACCATTCAGGCCTGGCAAGGTGGTGCACGCCTGTAATCCCAGCAGCTCAGAGGCTGAGGCAGGAGGATCAGGAGTTCAAAGCCACCCTCAGCAATTTAGTGAGGCCCCAAACAACTCAGTGAGACTGTGTCTCTAAAAATAGAGCTGGGGATGTAACTCAGTGACCAAGTGCCCCGAAGTTCAATCCCTGGTAACCACCACCCTCCCTCCCCCCCAAAAAAGCTGAGAGTGAAAAACCATAAGCAACTTGCTTAGCAAAATGCTACTTAGTGTTAGGCATTACTCCTATCCTAAAACTTGCTTTCAAATGTGTCCTTACTGCCCTGAGCTGTTAGCCACAGTGACTACCAACTGAGGATAAGTCAAAAAACAGAAAAGTGCCCTTTGTTAAAAAGGAGGTGATGGGGCTGGGGTTGTGGCTCAGTGGTAGAGCGCTTTGACTAGCATGCATGAGGCACTGGGTTCAATCCACAGCACCACATAAACAAATTAAATAAACAACAACAACAAAAAAGGTATCCTGTCCATTACAACTAAAAAAAAAAAATCAAGAAAAAAAAGGAGGTGATGGTGATGGTGGTGGCAGTAGAGGAGCTGCTTTACTTACAAGAAACATCCACTGAACCACTAGGAGACTGTCCATTATGCTTCTGTCCCAAACCTTCCTTGTGAAGGAGGGGATGGGAATGGGGGAGGGTTAGCAGCTCTTAGCAGCTGCCCTGGCCATCAAAGCTAGTAACCTTTTGTTTTACTGTTTTCTTTTTTGCTTTTTCACCATTTCACTTGGGACCCTAGGAGACATTCCACCTCCCAGCCTCCAGTGCAGCTGTGATGAAATCACTTCCCCTCTTAAAAACTTAGCAATAGCTATTAGGGTTAGAATGGCCCACAAAAGTCTGGATCACTCCCCCGCCATCTTTCCAGATGAATGTGGGACTCACCCAGCTCTTTAAACACTACAATATTTAAAATTTTGATTAAAAGGAGTGTGTAACTGAAAAGAGGGCTTGGATTTTTTACAAAACATTTCACAATTTCAGCTGCACACTGGAAACACTGGGGGACTTTAAAACATACTGCAGTCCTATCATCTCATGGAATTGGCCCCAGGTACAATCTGGGCATTGAAATTGTTACAAAAGTAAATAAATAAAAAACCAGGAGATCTCCATGTAAATCCAACAGTGCCACTGCTAAATCAGAAAACAGTTTGTACCATAGTAGATATCACTCCACATTGACTAGAACGTAAGGAGTGAGAAAATGTAGTGAAATTATAATCCTTTTTTTAAAGAGAGAGAGAGAGAGAGAATTTTTTAAATATTTATTTTGTTTTAGTTATCGGCTGACACAACATCTTTGTTTGTATGTGGTGCTGAGGATCGAACCCGGGCCGCACGCATGTCAGGCGAGCGGGCTACCACTACAGCCACATCCCCAGCCCCAAGAAATTATAATCCTTCTATACCACTGCCAGGAATACAAAATGGTGCCCCAACTATGAAAAACAGTTTGGTCGGGGCTGGGGATGTGGCTCAAGCGGTAGCGGCTCACCTGGCATGCGTGCAGCCCGGGTTCTATCCTCAGCACCACATACAAACAAAGATGTTGTGTCCGCCAAGAACTAAAATAAATAAATAAATAAATATTGAAAAACAGTTTGGTCTTGCCCCAAGATAAAATGTGATTACCATATGAATGGACTAGGAATGTAGCTCCCCCAGCAAACCTCATGAGGCCCCAGGTTTAATTTCCAATATTGTGCTGGAAAAAAAAGAGAGAGAGAGAAGAGGAGGGGCTGGGGTTGTGGCTCAGTGGTAGAGTGCCGCAGTCTGGCTGGGCACAATCAGGAGCCACTTGTCAAAAGAAACTAACTTTATTTTTAGAACCACACACGACAAACAAAATAGTCTCTCAGGAAAAACCCTCAGAGCCTCAACTGCCACCACCGGCTTTCCACAAGCCTCTCTCTCCCACACAAGCTTCTCCCCACCTCCCACAATCCTCCTGCTCTTGAAGCCGATTGGCTGGGTCACGTGGGCGGAGCCAAAAAAGTCCCCCAATGAGCAGCTCCGTGGTCTGAAAGGGCAGGGAAACAGTCCAATGAGCATCACCGCAGAGGAGCCAATCAGCTAGATGTTGCTGGGGCCGAGGAGCCAATCAGCTAGATGTTGCTGGGGCTGCTGTGAGCCAATCATCAGCCGGCAGCTGGAAGTTTGCTGGCAGCTGGAAGTTTGCTGGGGCCCCTCAGGCTGTGGCTCTCAACATCTCCCCCTCTCTGTTTAAACAACAAGCATGTGGCTTAGGGACCGTGCCTGTTAGGCAGTCCAATTCAACATATGGTCCTTACCCGTCATCGGATGAACTGACCTCTAGGCGTCAGCCTCCTGTCTTAGGTTGGTACCACTGCAATTGGATCATACCCGTCACTGACTACCGGTCCAGCATACAGCCATACTTGTGGATAGGCCTTTGCACCTGTGGGGGGGTGAGGTTCTTTGCCTCACCTCTGTTGGCCCCCAAATTTTAGACCATCACTAGTAGAGGAGGATGCAAAATGCCATGACATTAAGCCAATTGAGGGCTCCTTTGAAAAATTGTACCACCGGTGACATCATCAGCAAAAATACCCCAACACTACCATAAGTCGCTGCACCAACAGATAGTTCACAATGCATACAGGTGAGCTCACAATGTGTCCAGGCAAGTTCTGCAAGCAGTTCAGTGATGGCTATTGTAGAAGCTATAGATTGGTTTTATCTTTGACTTCACCAGCACTGGGATGAAGATAGGAATTCTGGCAATAATGGCTAAAGAAAAAATTATGTAACATTCCAGAAGGCACTAAAAGAAAACAATTTTCTTAACAATTTACATTGTCTTCACTGGCACTGGGATGAAGATAGGAATTCTGGCAATAATGGCTAAAGAAAAAATTATGTAACATTACAGAAGGCACTAAAAGAAAACAATTTTCTTAACAATTTACATTGTCTTCACCGGCACTGGGATGAAGATAGGAATTCTGGCAATAATGGCTAAAGAAAAAATTATGTAACATTACAGAAGGCACTAAAAGAAAACAATTTTCTTAACAATTTACATTATCTTTAAGAGAATTATTAAATATAATGAAAAGGAAAGGTGAAAGTAAACAGATCTGTTAACCTTCTTTTTTGTTTACGTATTAAAACAATCCTCAACAGTTGTTTACCCAATTTAAATTAAACCATATAAATCACGTGAAAAAAAATATTTGGATCCATTTTATCATGAGCGCTCATCATATATGATATATGGACATACGTACATTCAAACATATAACACAAAACACAAGTGTGCACACATAATATAATACATACAACACATAACATTATAGTAAAGGCCTTATAACTTTTTACAGGTGAAATCTCCATTGCAATGCTTAAAAACTCTATAGTCAAA